TAATTAGTCATGTATTGAAAGAAGACACACACACACATATATATATATATATATATATATATATATATATATATATGTATATATATAAAGTATGTGGTGCAGTTCAATTTACATTACATGAATCATTCATACAAAAACAGATATAAAGTTAATGATATAAATGGCGAATACATCTTAGCCAACAAATTTAATAAAAGTACATTAACTGAACCTGTAGATGAATGTTATGATCCCTGTTTATAAATTCCAGTTGCATAAGGTTTTTTTTTAGTTTTTTACAAGCTTTCATTTGTTCATACAGACATCATTTTCATTGTCCTGTTATTACCGAGAAGTAAAAAACAAAAACAAATCTATTTCCACACCTGAAGATGTCTGTATGAACAGATGAAAGCTTGTAAAAAAATAAAAAAAAGACCTTATGCAACTGGAACTTACAAACAGGGATCATAACATTCATCTACAGGTTCAAGATTAATGTAATTTATTAAATTTGTTTCATTAAGATGTATTCTCACCATTTATATCATTAATAACTTCTATATCTGTTTTTTGTATGAATGATTCATGTTGGAAATATATTTTATATATATATATATATATATATATATATATAAAATATATGGAAAGTGCCTATATATATATTTTTAAATTTTCTGGCGTGCATGCACGTGACGACAACGTGACCATGTTTTAAACGGAGCACTGATCTTATAAAACTTTCAGTTATTTGTTTGGATAAGTCTTGTTCTTATTTACATCGTCTTTGTCATGTATTGATAATGTTATAATTTATGAATATGTCCGGAAGATGGTTTATTAGACCGAAACGTCCGACGTTGACATATTAACATTTAAACAACATCATTGTATATAAGGATTTTTGTTTGTTTTTTCCGTATATATTTTTCTTCATATATATATATATATAAGGCACTTTCCCACCACCATAAGGTTGCATCCATGTGCCTTTTCTATAAATACTTTCATGGTATTTGTTCAGATGAGCTCTTTGCTATGGTACCTAGAATTTTTTAAGTTAAGCACAGTACTAGACTGGTGATGAGGTCTCATCAGTTTACAGTCGAGTTGGTTAGATGTAACTGTAAGTTTTATGTTAATGGTTTCTTTTGTTGCACTCCTCACTTGAGGAATTCCCTACCAGCTCCTTGCTTTCCAACCAACTTTGATCTTTAAATTTAAATTCAATGTCACTCACTATCCATTGTCCTCCTGATTACTCTGTTTTTGTTATCACTCCTTAGTAATGTTTCTGTTTCTAATTCTTCCACACCCAGCCAGTAACTCCTTGTGTCTTAGTGGCTTTATTGCCTTACTTGGAATGAACATGATATATATATATATTTAAGTAATTCATAATTAATTTATATATATAATCTCTTCGTCACCGAGGCCCGTTGGAACAGTTGGTATGATGTTTGCTTGACAACCCAACTGTCAGGGTTTCAATTCTCGGTAGTGGATGCTTTTTGCTGATGAGTCGCAAATATAGGACAAAACTGCCATCCAGGTGCTTTCTTGCATTTCTGTTGAGGTTTCTTTCAGACTCGATGAATTACTTAAATATAATTATCAAATCCTCCCAATAATTTCTATCATAATATATATATATATATATATATATATATATATATATATATATAATAGATAGTACTAGAATTGCTGTTGGGTCTCATCATTTTACAGTTGAAATGTTTAGATGTAACTGTAAGTTCTTATGTGCACTATACCATTTAGCCACAGAGGAAGCATCTGGTTAGCAAAGTTCAAAATTTGTTCATTTAAAAACAGTAATTTGGACTTTGTGCCAAAGGTCAAATGATGGTTCTATGTAGGATACAGGCTCAATTCCTGTCAGAGGACACATATTTTTCTACAAAATTTCTCAAATGTTCAGGCCAGTAAATCGCCATTAATGCTGTTTATTATAAACAGAGCATTCACTTAAATAATTGTATCTATAAAATAATGTATAAACAGAAAATACATTATATATATATATATATATATATATATATATATATATATATATATATTAGATTATATAGTACCCTTGCATCTTAGTGGCTTCATTGCCTTGATTGGGGTGAAATGATTAAAAATAATGAAAATGATTATTGATTTTATGAATAACTGAGGTACAGGTATTGTGGACTTAACTGCAATCAATAAGATAGTGTGAAGTTTTATTGTAAACTTGGTTAGTAATGTAGCATGTGTGTCCTATTCAAAATTACATCGAACTATCAGAGGTCAAGGTACAGAGTTGACTTGAAGGGACCCCCTAGTCAGAAAGTACATTTTCATGTGACTGGTCCCGATGCACCTGGATTGCAAGCATGGAAAAGAACTCTATTACATGCATTAATGCAAACAGCACTGCCAATAAGGAGATGGGCAGTTTCTCACACATCACAGAAGAGAATGTAAGGTTTTCATTTTGGATGCGGGGCTATGTACACTGGCTGACAGTAATTGATAAAGTACCAGGTTCAAATAAAATTTAAATTGAGTTTGTATAATAGGTACTTCGACCTGAAATAATCATTTTTTTTTCATAATTTTTTTCATTTTAGTTTAGATTAAGCACTCCAGATTGCAAATATCCAAACCACTTTTTTTTTTTTATTAAATATAAAAGTTTGATAGGGAGATCCAGCTGTTTATATTTCTGAGATGTGGTATTGTAACTATTTACATTGTTCAGACAGTTGTCCTGATCTTTATTGACATATTTACGACATTTCAGCCGTTGCACACTCTGGCCTTCTTCAAGTGAAATTTCAAACCAAACCCTTTATTTCATCCACTGGGGAAGATTGTTCTAGTTCCACATGCCATGCCTTTTGTGGCTATCTCTGTTTCAGTTATTTCCCTCGGCCATGTGGATAAAAGCCAGAGCTGGGCACCAAACAATCAATCATTAATTAACATAGTTGTTATTTTCATTGGCAATTTGACTTTTAAGTTGACTCATCACACGTGGGCACCATTAATCAAAAAGTGAACTTCGTTAACCAAAAAATTAATTTTAACTATTGATCAGTTAACTCTTCAAAAATGTAACGGAACTTATCGATAAACCGTTTACGTTCTGAGCTTGTTCCTGCTGAGGTCTAGAGGTACTGGCAGTTTTAACTTTGGCAACATCAACAGATTAAACTTCTTGAGATGCCATGATAATGTTTAAAGTTGGCTTGGGGGTTGAATTGAAAATGTTAATTTTGTTAATTAAAGTCATTAATAGATTAACAGTTTGGTGCCCAGCCCTGTTAAAAGCATTGGTTGAAGTAATCCAGTGACTTGACCCAAAGGGTTGTGAGTTCATTACCTGACCACAGCAGAGGTGAGAGAAATACTTGGAAAGTTGAACGGAAAAAGGAACTACCTGAAATTGAGATATCCAGAAAAGGCATGGCATGTGGAACTAGAACAATCGTCCACTTAATGTTAATATGACCAGCATGTTATTTCATACAATAACTTCATTGCAGTAATGTAGATGCACATTTACTGACCTGCTTAAAAATCATTGCTATAAAACCAACTTCGACAACCACGGCCTAGGGGGCCGGATCCGCCCGCGATCCCATTTTGAATAGTCTCCTGCCTGATTACCAATGACTCTATTTTTAACATGAGAAACGACCTTCAAATGAAATTTGTTATATGTCATTTTCCATAGAATGTCTACACATCTCAGTGCACTAAAAATATTAGACTATCTGCCAGTTATCTTTCATGAGACTTATTTTACCAAGTTTGCATTGCCTATGTTTAATGTCAAATAATGGATACATATTTGTTATGTCCTTGGCTACATTAAAAGTTAACAGAAGCAAAAGGAAATGATAAAGTGAAAGAGGCCAGGGAGGGACTGACATGCGAGGTAGCAGAAATCTAAAGACAGTTAAACATACGTGCATTATACATATGCCTCATGAATGTGGATGATACCACATGTACGTACATAAAGTATATGTTTGCAACTATTTGTACTCGTATGTATGGGTATATGTGTGCTTTTTTTTTGTTTGATGTGTGTGTGTGGTTCGTTTGTGGAACAATTTTCAATAACAGTTTCAAACCTACACGTCATAATTTCATCCATTTCACTTCGGTTGATTTTTTTCACTTTGAAGTATTTTGACATTCCTTGAGGAAAAGTAATTTTTGTTAGGTGTTTTTTTAATTTTAGATTTTCTTTTGTTTTTCTCATTTCTCAATGTTTATTTTCATTATGGTTTTAAATATTTAGGTTGACAGGGGTCTGCATATGTAATTTTCCTTAATTTTTCATTAATGGCCTTCATCCAGGCCCATGACCCGATCTGGCCCACGGGGTCGAATGAGTTGCCAACCCCTGCTATAAACAATAGTTCTTTGAAATAATTTTATTTAAAATATTTATTTGAGCAGAAATAATAGTCCAGCTTTATTTATTTTTTTCCTTTGTGTTTTTCTAAAGATTGTTTATTCCTAAGCTGCAGTCCAGTGATCGAAAATGTCTGCATTGACAGAAGAGCAAACATCTTCAATTGAAAAAACAAGGCCATTATTTGGAGAAATTGTCTCAAAGAAAGGATTCAGCTTACACAAAGCCCACAGCTCTGCAGAAGCCAAATGCACCAACTGGGTTTCATCCCGAAAATAGAAAAAATCAACATGGAATTAAAGATATAACACCTCAGTAGAGAAAAATTACCTCACTACTCTCTTCCTGCCCACAACCCAGGACTGTCAGGTAACAAAAATCCCTCGTCAACATCTGGGCAAGTCTCGAAAACCTGGAACTCCACAAAAACAAACCCAAATTCTTATCAGAAAGCCGTTAATCCTGGAGCTAAACCAAATAGCAGTGTGAGTCTAGCAGTTGCTTGCATTCAATGATCAGAGAAATTAGTTTAAACCAACAGATACACTTTACATAAAAGACTGTTTTGAAAGCACATGCAATTTTATTATCAAAAACTCGCTTCATGATCGAAGCAGGCTTTCATACGGGTTTAATCAGTCTCTTCAAGACCATGGAAACAAAAGAGTACAGTAAGTATAAAACATTTCTGTTGTTATATTCCATAGATTGGCAATTTTTATTGCTTCAGTGCTGCGAGACGAGAAACAAAAAACAGCAGATTTTTTGCCACCAGAAACATTTATATACAGTGCCAAAATATGAGGTAGGGAAGGGTTGTTGATTTTTTTTTTTTATTAAATGTGTAAAAATATCGTTAAATGGAATTGGCAGAAATTCCCAACTAATAAAATATATAAAGTTTGCAATAAACTTAAGTAACAAGTGAAAAAAAGAAAAGGAATAAAAAATAATATGAGGCAAGTAAAGAATATATGTAAGGCAAATTAACAGTAATAAGGCAAAAAGTTTGGAAAATAAGAACGGTATTAACACACAAAAGGAGGATAAAAACATGAAAAGAACAGCAAAAAAATAATACAAAACAGGGAAAACAATATATGCAAGGCAAATTAAGGTAAAGAGTTTGTAAACTAAAAATATATATATGTATAATATATATATTATATTTGCGGTACTTATTAGAAAGCGCTCAATATCAGAGATAGAGCTAACATATTTGCTTGGATCAGGGTCACAAACTCCAACTAAATATACTTAAAATTATAAAGATTGGGTAGAAATAATTATTATAGTCGATTTACTAAATAAATGAAATATATAAAATATAATTCTATAAGTAAGAAGTACAAACTGATAATAATTAAATAAATGAAACAATATTAGAAAAGGATGATAAAAACATGAAAAGAACGACAATGTTTAAAAATAATATGAACCACTGAAACAATATATTTAAACCAAATTAACAGTAAAATTGATAAAGGTGAAGAGTTTGTAAACTAAGAATATATATATTGAATATATATATATTATTTTTATTTATAAGATAATGTACAGAAAATTAAACTTGGTCAATATCGAATTGTTTTAACATATTTTAAATTGATGTGAATTTGTGAAATCTAGTTTGTTTCTTTTTCTGATGATCGCTTTAAAGCATGAAACCCAGGTTCACAAAAATTAATATATCAATCAATTATGCAAATATGTTTAAAATTATAAAGATTGTGTATAAAGCAGTGTGTATAAAATGACAGAGAAATAATTATTATAGTCGAGTTATCAAATAAATGAAATATATAAAATATAATTCTATAAGTAAGAAGTACAAACTGATAATAATTGCAAAAGGAGGATAAAAACATGAAAAGAATGGGGAAAAAAAAATAATACAAAACAGGGAAAACAATATATGCAAAGCAAATTAAGGTAAAAGAGTTTGTAAACTAAAAATATATATATGTGCATAATATATATATTATATTTATGGATCTTATTATTTTGAATATCAGAGATAGAGCTAACATATTTATTATTTGATCAGGGTTCATCTGGTAAACTAAATATACTTAAAAATTATAAAGATTCTAGAAATAATTATTATAGTCGATTTACCAAATAAATGAAATATATAAAATATAATTCTATAAGTAAGAAGTACAAACTGATAATAATTGCAAAAGGAGGATAAAAACATGAAAAGAATGGGGAAAAAAAATAATAGAAAACAGGGAAAACAATATATGCAAGGCAAATTAGCAGTAATAAGATAAGGAATTCACAAACTAAGAGTGGAGTTAACACACAAAGGGAATACAGACAATTGTTTTTAGATTAAGTAATGGCAGAAGAATTATCATTAAACTTTTAAGAGGTAAGCTTTTAATGCAATACTTAAATGCAGTGATCTATTTTGAGTTCTTCTGTAGTTTATTGTTGTCCATCTCATCTACCTCCTAAAATCTGTTGTGATGAAGGCATTAGAATGCCCTCCGTAAATAAACTTTTTTTACCACCCAATAGGGTCACTTTTAAGTTAGTATATATATATATATATATATAAAAGACAAAAGGAAAATTTTTCTTTACCAATGCATTTCATCCCCTGATATTTTTTCTCTCCTCCAGATGCCATGACGAAATGCTGGTCATTCCGGTTGACAGAGTATGAAAAACTGAGTAAGAAATTTTTTATTCTCTTTTAAATGTTTTATAAGAGAACCAGACCGACATGAAAAAAAAAAAGAATAAATAACTCTTGACTCTGAATAGTCTGGTCTCGGTAGGCATTGAGTTTTCTTAGAATTTTGACTGAATTAAAAGTGTTGAATATGTGTTGAGGAAAGACCTTTGGCCTTAATTCTGCTGCATCAGTGTGTGAGCAGGAATCAGAACTGGTGATAACATAAACAGGAAATGCATCTGGTGGCTAAAATAAACAGGATGCACAGGTGCCCTGAGTAGAAGGAAATGCATGGGTGCATGCCAGAAGAAGGCATAGCCATGTGAAGTTGCATCAGTGTCCAAATGTTATTTAACCAGCCAGATTCTTGGCTAACTAGAGGTTCAACAAAGATGTAAGACCAATTCCTGTGTTCATAATCCTGCCTCCTTAATTCTCCTATATACCTATCCGCATAAAAACCAAACAATAAAGATATTTATATATTTTTATATATAAGTGTTCATCACCTTATTTGACCCCAGCAGCAATATACTACAAAAGAAGTATCAGACTGTGGGATATATTATGTACAATATACAATTCTATTTTAAAGCATCAAAATTAATTAGAACCTGAAAGTATCAGAAAAATTTTATAAGAAGAAGTCAAATTATCAGCAAAACGTTTGAAACCTGAATTGAATATAAATGGTGTAAACTTTTATATCAGACAAATAAAAATAATGGTTTTAAATTAGACTCTTCTTTTATGTGTCATGTCCTTTCAGGCCGTAGTTCTCCACAACTTCCTATCCTTTGTAACTCTTATAAATTTACAATCCCTATTCTGTGTAACTCTTTGTAACTCTTTATAAATTTACAATCCCTATTCTGTCATACATTCGCATAAACTCGTCAGGTAGGTGGCCTCTGCCTCCCTCTGTCCCTTTTGCTTTCAATATGTTTTGTGAGTATCAAATTTTCCAAGCCCTCCTTTCTCATTATGTAATAAATTAAATTATTCTCATAAATTCAATTTAATTTCTAATGTAGAAGAGAACCAGACCAACATGCTAAAAGGCCTTGACTAGAGTGTGTCTGTGCATAAGTAGGAGTTGTTTTGTTGAAAATTGGCTGTTTGGCGAAGGCAATGTGGGAAAATGACATGAAATCAATAAATAAAATAATAAGAATAAAGAATAAAAAAGAAATAAATATATTTTCCCACAACACAAGTAATAAAGGAATTGGAGAGTGTTTTTGGTCACTCTGCAGTTTCATGACCTGCTTTTTAAAAGTTATTTAGAAATTTTTTCTTACCAAATATAATGGTTCATTTGTGTGCAGAGATTGACTTGAGCTTGACCATTTTTAACAGATTTTCGTCTTCTGAATTAAAAAGAAATGGACATACCAGAAGATAATAAGATTTATTTCATTAACAAAAATTTGTCTTGATTGGAATAAATCAAGAGAAATAAACGGTCCTTGGTTCAAAAACCCAAAATTTTTTTTTTTTGTATCGCCGTCTTTGTTTAAATACAGTGCTTACTTCTGCATGTTTTGATATTCACCCTCCATGGATTATGTACAGACATTTTCTTTTTTCGTTTAACTCAGCCTGTGGCCAAATTGAATCCTATCCAAAAATTAAGCCATTTGTAAAACTTGGCATAAATTAA